GTTATCCGCCTCAGCTTCGCTTCGGCAGATAACATTGACCTCGGTCTGAATAATTCTTGATATCATGCTCAGCCTCATCCAATAATTGCTTATTATCATTCACTTTATAGTATTCTCAATTTTGGTTGGTTAATTTACCTGCAAATAACTGCGTGCGAATAACAGTCTGAGCATGCGCATTTGTTAAAAACATTGCTCAGCTACAAATAATAGTCTGAGCATGCGCATTTCCTTCAATTTTTGTAAACAATGGTGGCTCGCTTTGCTCATGAACTTTCGGAAAATGAGTTGTCTTGCTTACTTGAAGAAAAAAACGCGGAAAATAAAAAAGCGACTAAAACCGCCGTCAATGTCTTTCGCCAGCATTTAGAAGCAAGATAAATCAACGAAGACGATCTAGTTGGCTCAAAAGAAACTCTTGCCAACGTCCATCGCAAGTTTTATGCAGAAGCAAGAAAGAGAGACGGCGAACTTATATATTAAACGAAAGATAAAATTAAACTTTAGAAGTGAATAATTGCTGCGGAGCGAGCGAGCCTGAAGCGAGCGAGCGTAGCAGCAGCCTAATATATGCAGAGAGGGGGTTTTGAACTAAATTTTATTAAGCGCTTGGAATTGTGGTCTTGCGCGCTTTCTATGCACAGAACACAAAATTTAAACTCGCTCGAGTCTTCGAATTTTTATCGAATTTCTAAAGCTTTTTCAAGTCTAATGTTACGCAACTTACGCTTGCATTTGTTTTGGACTTTGGCCGCTATCAGTTCTATATTTTTATCAAGTTTTGGTTTCTTAGTGTAATAAATCTGTGTATATAGTCTATATAATGTGGTAGATGCACCTAGCATTAAAGGCAGAATGCAGAAATCACGTTGATTTCCTGTATGTCAATACACGCTGTTTAATATATGTCACCTCTATTCTATTACTATGGCGGCAAACGAAGAGTTTGGCTCTTTAAATTTACAAAACGAAAGAAGCTATATCGCCATGAGTTCATCGCCTGAAGACGAAACATCTGATTTAGACGAGTCTAGCGATGTAAGGCTGTATTTTTGGATGTTAATGTAAAAAAGAAAAGTATCCAAATTGCTGTAAAATTCGGTTCAATTGATAATTATGT